AAGTACACATTAAAAACATTAATTTTCACTATTTATTACCCTTTTAAATGCTTTAAAATAATACATTAATAATTTTTCATTGTTTTTCTATTATTAAAAAATAATATATAAAACATTTTTCATTGAATTATATAAAAATTTGACTGAATACACGGAAAGAAAAGGTATCGTTGTCCCAAACATAAAAATATTGTTGGTCATAATATTGTTGAGGCATCCATATATATAGCTGAAGCAGCTTTCAGTATGGATACATTGACAAAAAAGAATGGTTGTGGCAATCATATAATATTTGTACCTATGATATGGATATATCAACCATAGCTTTAGTTGAGGTAACAATATTTGTTTGGATTTTAACAATTTTGTTATCCTATCCATTTTTGAATTGCTAAGGCCCCTATAGACGCCTGCGCATCTTGTCTGCGCGGTGATGCAATATATTACGTCTATATTACTCACATTAATTCCAAGTGTCGCGAAACGTGTATATGTCCGCAGTCCTAAACATTTTCTATAATCATTTAAGAATTATATTGATCCCGGTTAATGCCCAGCAAACACGTTCTATAATTGTTCTATTAAAATTAAAGAACATTGTTCTAGAACAATTGTGCCATCAATAACATGTAGCAGTTATAGAACAAAATGGTAACAGTGTTCTAGAACAATGTTCCTAATATGTTACATAACTGTTCTATTTTTTTGTTCCAGAACTCTTCTTAGATATAAGTTCCATAAGTGTTATAGAACATTTAAGTCACAAATGTTCTAGAAATTTTGTACTTTTTTTGTTCTAGAATTTTGATATAACAATATTATGTCACCTTTCTAGAATAATATTCTCTTTTTGTTATAGAATATATCCGGAAATTTGTTCTTAAATTATTCTATAACAAATGTTCTATAAGAGTTCTAAAACATAGATGTCACAAATGTTCTAGAAATTTTGTTCCGCTTCTGCTCTAGAACTATGCTGAAAGACTATTACATAACATTTCTAGAACAGAATGCTTGTCTTATTCTACACGGAGAGAAAAATCTCGCTTGTATAACGTGATAAGGCATACGTTTAACGCATGAATCTTTTCCATGCTATTATAGTAGAGAAATTCTAGTAATATTAGTAAGAATTCATACGTTATTAGTAGGATTGGTGTTCATGCTTAAAAGGTTTGAGAAACATGCTTTCGTAGTATGTATTTAATACTTTAAATGCATAAGCGCCACGCGCAAATCGTATGAAACTGAAACCTACTACTATTGCAGGAGTCTCATGCTTTTTCAGTATTAGAGTCCTGCAACTGGCGATTAAGACACGCACACTTTAACTTGACTCAAACTTGGTGATCGCCAGTTGCAGGACTCTAATACCGAAAAAGCATGAGACTCCTGCAATAGTAGTAGGTTTTGGTTTCATACAATTTATGCGTGGCGCTCATTCATTTAAAGTATTAAATGCATACTACGAAGACGTGTTTCTCAAACATACTAAGAACGCATGAATTCTTGCTTTCTTTGTAAGAAAAATTCATGCTTTAATGGTAGGAATCATTTTCATGCTATGAAAGCTAGATTTTTCTTTTCGTGTAGAAATTATTAATTATAATTAATTTATTAATTAATAATTAATAAATTATTATCTGTTATAGAATTATAACATTATGTCAAATCTACAAATGTTCTGTAACACTTCAGTCACAAATGTCATTAAATGTTTGATCCTTTTTGTTGTAAGATTCCTATTTTATTTTTTTCCATTAATAATGCCATGCAAAGTAATTTTGTCAATTTTTATGCCAACATCAATTGTTTTAATATTTGAATATTATATAACATTGAATTTCAATAATATTGGATATTGAAACTTGACCGAAACATAAATTATTTGATTTTCAACAAAGAATTAATATACAGTTTGCTTAAATGTATATAGTAATTAAAATTAGTCGAATTGCAAAATTTAGTCATTTTTGGTAGGTTAAAATTAATTTGGGAACTTTTAAATGTTTTGAATTTCGTACATTTTTATAATTTATATATATTAGAAATTTAATATTTGCTTTGTTTTATATTTAATTAATTTTTAAATTTTTTGCGTAGAAAATTACTATAAGACTTGCAATTTGTTGAGACTTACCAATTTTTTTTTACATCACACTATTCTTATATATAATAATATAAATCACTATTATGAGTAATATAAATTATATTAGTTAATTAAAAAAATTTTACTGTTTCAACATTGTTACTTAATTACTTTTTTGGAGAAAATTGAAATTTATTTGTACTGTCCTCTTGACTAAAGCAAAGATTTATTTCCTTTCAAATTAAAAATTAAAAGGTAATAAATTCTAAAATACAATAATTAAAAGATTTAACAGTTTTTACATTTATTTTAATTAACATATTTAAGAATTAACAAATAAAAATTATTTATATTGTTAAAAATTATTAATATTTTAGAAACGATATGCTAATATACTCATTGTAATAAATAATAAACAACTAAAAAATTGTTTGATGGTCTTACAAAATAATAAACCTATCTATTTCATGTGTTTGTTACAAGGAACATTTCTTAAGAAACCTTTATAGTCTCCCTTGGTCGAGCGCGTCTAGGCGCAGTTCCCAGTACGGTTGAGCTCTGCAGTGTAAGTACATTAGTGATGGTCGAAAGCTCGAATCTCGGGAGACAACCGATTAAAAAATTTCGAGAATGTGTTAGGATTACTAATTTTTTTTATTTTATTAACATTATCAACATCAAATTAAGACAAAATATGACACTCTCTTAATTTATTATATTAATTTTAACTGTATTTTTTTGTAACAAAGTTCTATATTTGTTACATATGTGTTATATAAGATGTTGTTACTGGATTTAAAAAATTTGTAATTAATTTATATAATTGTTACATATCTGTTATAAATCACTAGTAACAGTGTTATGTATTTGTTACATATCTGTTACAGAGATCAGAGCTGACATTTATCATAACCTGCTTGTAACATGCTTGTAACATGCTACAAGCTTGTGACAGAACGTGTTACATCTTGTTATATAACAAATATATAACCATTACGTATTCGTGTTTGCTGGGTGTGTTTTTTAAGTTAAAAAATGGAAGCTGAGTGCATTGATTTCCTTAAAAAAAATAGGCTTCGAAAAAAAAATTCTTCAATGTTTGCGACACTTAGGCACGCACTATAATTATATAATACTATAATAAAAGGTGCGATACGATTGTTTATTTTGTTAACGAATTTGTATTTGGCGATTATTTCAAAAAAATAAATACGTTTTTATGGGACTCAATGTTTTAAATTAATCAAAAATAACCTTATTGATAATATTAAACAAATAAAATAAACATAAATTGTAACCATATAAAATGGTTGCTTCAACAATATTAATATGGTACACTAAATAATGGTCGAAGCATCAATTAAAAATGGTTGTCACATCCATATTAGCATTTGAATGTTTTCCAAATATATGGTTCCCACAGCCATATATTCTAGTTGTGCTAACAATTTAAAGCTAGCTATTTAATATGGCTGGAGCAACCGGAGGTATGGTTGGGACGTATTTTTCAATATAATATGGTTGAGACAACCAAAGATATGGCTGTGGCAACCATTGATTTTTTTCCGTGTACCCTAATATAACATTGCTCCATATTTTATCTTTTATTTCACTTTTTTCGTATTAAATAGATACAAATAAGGTCTTCAATTACTCATGAACACTTTTTCTACAAATCCCAATAAATACTTCATCATATTTTATTGTTTAAATAACATTTTTTGGCCTTTTTGACCCATGTAATCCCTTAATCATAATTAATTATAAAAGATGTAAACAAAAATAAATTAATATATAATTTTACCCCCACAGCAGCCAATCTTTACTAAAAATTTCGTAAAGATTTCCTTGAAATCTTGGGGATATTTAATTGCAAAGTTTAATAAAAATTGCATAAAGATTTAAATGTCCCACTAAAATAAATGTTTGGCGTAAAAGTTGACTAAAAATTTTAATGAAATTTTCAGGAAATATTCGTCGCGAAAATTAAGTAAAAATTTAAATGAAATTTTCAGGAAATGTTTGGCGTAAAAGTTGACTAAAAATTTAAATTAAATATTTATTAAAAATTTATACCGAAAGTTGAGTGAAAATGTAATTTAAATATTCAGTTAATTTTTGTGACGAATTTGTTTTCAAAAGTTCTTGCTCAACAAGCATGCAGTGCTTGATTCAATGTGAATCAAAGCAGAGCAACAATGTTTGTATATTATTTATTTTATTTTTAATCCCAGATAGTAAATTTTTTTTATTGATAATAATAATAATAATATCTATCTATTTATCTATCTATCTATCTATCTATATATCTATCTATCTATTATTATTATTAATATTAATAATAATATTAATACTTTTTAAATATTGTTTTTGTATTTTTTACAAATATTTTCGTCCAACCTTTTCTGAAAATTTATTTTAAATTTTTAGGAAATGTTCGTTACAAAAATTAACTGAATATTTAAATTACATTTTCACTCAACTTTCGGTATAAATTTTTAATAAATATTTAATTTAAATTTTTAGTCAACTTTTACGCCAAACATTTCCTCAAAATTTCATTTAAATTTTTACTTAATATTCGCGACGAACATTTCCTGAAAATTTCATTTAAATTTTTAGTCAACAATTATTTTAACATTTATTTATTTTAGTGGGACATTTAAATCTTTATGCAATTTTTATTAAACTTTACAATTAAATATCCCCAAGATTTCAAGGAAATCTTTACGAAATTTTTAGTTAAGATTGGCTGCTGTGGGGGTAAACTCTATTAGCATTTCTATAATCAAACATTTGGTGCAAATTTTTAGTTTGATGTGTTCTCCATGTTAACTCTACCGTGTAGTTCTTTTGTAAAATGATATACACAAATATTAAAAAACTAAAATTTAATAAAATTATTACATACCAGTAAGTTTGACCCACAAATTATTTGTGTTAAAATATTTAAATTTTTTTATTGATTTAAATTCGTCAACGTGATCTTTAGGAACTTGAGCGATTTCCAAGAGTCGCAATTTATTTTCATACAAAATAAGAGTTCCTCCCTAAAATATAAACATTAGTTTTTATAATAATATAATAATAATTCCAATTTTATAATAAGTTTCAATTTAAAAAAATCTGATCTATTTACAGTGAGTATTAAGTAAGGGCAAGATTGATGAAAATGTACCAATTCAACTTTTCTGGAAAACTGGGTTACCTTTCAGTATTCCAATAAGCCAGGGCATAGAGCACACATTAGTGGCCTGTCAGTAGAACCACACATATAATTTCTACGGCAGGATTCGTTAGCCTCTGATACCTCAAAAAGGGACGCATGAAAGTTCCCCAAATTAAACATGCCGGAATTTTTGTGGTGTCGAATGTACGTAAATTTTATAATGAGCCCAATTTTAATATCGAAAAAATTCTGTTGAAAAATGTTAATTTTATAGTATTTCTCCGGCAAATCGATTTTCGCTAGAATTTTTTTAAACTCTGGGAAAATGTTCCTTTTTATGTACTTTATAATTGGTAAAAAAAACCCAGTACCCCTTGCCATGCTAAAAACTGAGAAATCTGGGTTCAAAGTTGCACCAGTTAACATAGGATTCCTAATCTGAACATGCAAAACTCATACATTTTATTGAATTATTTTAAAAGTTATCGATAGATTTTTTTTAAAAACGAGTATATTGTAGAATGGAATTAATAGAATAAGATAAAAAAAGTTTTAGTAGAGGTATTCATGCTAATTTTTGAATTACAACGTTTTCAAGTAGAAAAGTTAGGTTATTTATTGATTTTTAAAGAGAGTTAAGTATATTACTCGCTTGAGAAAGAGAGAGAAATCACGACAGTGAAGTGAGCTGTTGATTAGTATAAACTATGTAGTCGCAAGGAACTGAGCACCACTGGAGCCGGAGATATACCTTAACTAAACTTTGATAAAGCAGATTTTCTAATACATCGAATTTTTAAATAATACATTTTCCATTTAACAGAATTTATATCTAGAAAAATTTTCATAAAAAAGAATTTTTATTTATGAGAATGCGAATGTATGATCGGGTATGTGAAAGTTCGATCACACAGAAATTCGACGTTTTGAAAATTCGGTTAAATGAGGTATCGATGAAATAGAAATTCTCTCACTTCAAAATTTAGCTAATTGTAAGTATAATTTCTGTTAAATGACAATTCTACTAAATAAAAATTAAATCAAATAGAAATTTTATTACATAAAAATTTTGTTAAGAAATTATTTTGTTATATAGTAATTCTGTTAATTAAAAATTTAGTTAAAAAAATACAAAAAAAAATCATAAGTATTTTTTAAAAATACAAAATATTTTTCAAAATATGGCACATTTAAATTTTTTGTAATTTTTTTTTTTGATTTATTATAACTTCCGTAATTTTTAACCAATCGGCATAAATTTTTTTTAAATACTCGTATTTAGAAGCTCTTTCATGAAAAAAATTTTGAAAAAAAATTGAAAAATTTTAATTTTTATTAAAAAAACAATTTTAATTGTTTAAATAATTCGAAAAGCATATCTTCGATTTTTTTCAAAAAATTCATGAACATTCTCTACTATGTCCTGAAAAATTTAAGGCCTTGAAAAAGATGGTATGTCTTATAGTTTTTGGAAGATCCTCTAATTCTGCGTCAAAAAAAGAATATTAAGTATTACTAAGAATCGAAAATTAATAATAAAATGATATTTAGAGAAAGACTAAAAAATACCATGCCAAGTAGGTAGGCAATCACTACCGAGTTGTGCCGTGGGGTGCTAAAACAACGATTTTCAATAATCATCTCGACGCCTCCCGTTCATATAGAACTTATTGAAACTGCAATGCAATATAAGTCTTATTCAATTTTTTGTGCAATATAAGTCTTATTCAAATTTTTGTGCCATATAAGTTTTATTCAAATTTTTGTGCCATATAAGTCTTATTGAAAGTTCAGTGCTATATAATTCTTATTCAAGTTTCCGTGCAATACAATAATTGTACTGAATAAGAATTATATAGCACTGAACTTTCAATAAGACTTATATGGCACGAAAATTTGAATAAGACTTATATGGCACAAAAATTTGAATAAGACTTATATTGCACAAAAAATTGAATAAGACTTATATTGCATTGCAGTTTCAATAAGCATTATATGAACGGGAGGCGTCGGTCTGTTGATAATTTTGATTGTTAAAAATGTTATTTACACTGTTTTTTTGGCGCAGAATTAGATGATCTTCCAAATAAAAAAGAATTGACAATTTATCTTCATTTCTTCAAATGTTAATAATTATTTAAATAATTTTTATTATTAATTATTAATTTAATACCCGTTTATCCAAAATAGTTCATATAGGGCTTGTTGGATGCAGATTTCGATAAGCAATGGAATGATATTTTTAAAATTGTTCTAATTTTATTTGTTTGTAAAATATTTCATTTTTTATTAACTTTTGTTAGTTAATTAATTAACCTTTAGAGGGCCGGCATTTTTTAATTGAAAATCACCATGTTATAAACTGAAAATTTGACTACTTATGAAGTCAATATAAGGTAGAAAAAACCTGACACCGGAACTGGCCACTATAGTGGCCACCCCGGCCCTCTAGAGGTTAATATCTAGAAAACAAAAAATAATGCTATCTCAAAAATTTAACAATCGATTTATTATGACTTAAACAAAATTTATGATTTTTATCGCGCTTTAAAATGAGGGAGAACATGTTTAAAAGTTATAAACAAATTTTATTTTTTAAACAAATTGTTTAAAAATTAATATTTTTTTAAAAAAATAATTTTATTTCTAAAAGTTGAAGGTCTTTTGAGTAAAAAACATTCTTAACATTTCTCTCTATTTTTAGTAGGGAAAAAGTTATAAGTAAAGCAAAAAAATATTGTTCTAATTTGTTATTGTAAATATCTCGAAAAATATTAAAAATTTCAAATTCAAAATTTGTACACTTATTTAGCACCACTACACGGAGAAACTTTGTGTATCACTTTTTGTTAAACTCATATGTATTTTTAGTAAATTGACTACTAAAGTGGGGAAAAAACGGGAAAAAGACGTAATTTCTTATTTAATAGAAGTCTCTTTAACAATATATGACTTCTTTTTTTCAATATTTAGAAGTCAAGTTAAGAAAAATTCGACGTGGACAGTGTCGTAACTAAAAAGGGTTAGATGAAGCCCCGACTTAATCGCAACAATTATTAATTAACATACATAAGTGTTTATTTCATGTTTTGAAATTTGTGGCCTTAGGTCTTTATTAAGAGAATTACGTTATTTTCAATATGTCAAAAATTTTGTTAAATTATTTATTTTCAAAATTTTTTGTCTATGCATTTCACCATGAACATGGATCTTCAGGACTAGAATTACAAAAACAATTTTTTTATGTCATTATAATCAAACACAAAGTCTCATCTATAATTTTAGTACGTACCGCATATAATTTTGAATAAGTTATATTTAGAATAAGAACGAAGTTTTTAGAATAAAAATCTGTAAAAACAATTATGTTATTATTTTTTAGGTTAAAATAGTAATTGCAATTTTAATATCTAAAGATCAGACTTACCATAGTAATATTTTTAATATGTTTTAAAATATTTTTTGTTTACAATTTAATATAAGTCATTATTTAAGTTATGGGTTTGTTATGGTTTAAAATTTAAATTTAAAAACATGGGGGCACATGGTTGTGCTACCCATGACAGTTAAACTAACCTAAAATATGAGAGGGAAAAAATATTTTTGAAAGCTGGAATATGAGATACAAAAACGTAATACTTGTAGTCTACTAACAGGAGTAAAGAAGTTACTTATTAGTCATTTGAATTTATATTTAAATTGATTATATCATGATATAAATATCGGAAATAAAATAATATGTCATACAATTTATTATTTATAATTTTTTCTTCAATATCTATCATTACAAGGTCAGCAACTGCAGAAGAAATTGGTGAGCCCATTGGGGTTCCAAATTTTTGTTTATATATTTTATAGTCAAATTGAAGGTAAGCATTGTTCATACATAACCTAATAGCTGAATCAAATTGTGAAAAGGTTAATTTAGTGAAATCCCTTATTAAACTCCATCTTTTCTCGATTATTTTAAAAACGGTCTCAGGATTTATATTAGAGAACATAGAAACAGCATCTAATGATACAATTGTGTGTGTGTTTGGTATTTTAAAATGTTTTAATTGATTTACTAATGTTGTGCTATTTTTTAAAATATGTTTTGATTTTGAGGTTATGTTACATAAAATTGAGGCTAAAAATGTTGAAAGGTTGTATAATGGAGAGCCAATAAATGAAGTCACTGGTCTGAGTGGGAAATCTTTTTTATGGATTTTAATCAAACCATAAATACGTGGTGGTAATCCATGAAGGCATTTTAAATTATTACGTGTATTATCATCTATTTTAGAATCAAACCATAAATTATCTATAAGTTTATTTAATTCGAGTTGAATATTCTTAGTCGGATTATTAATAATTTTATAAACGTCATTATCATTTAACATTTCATTTAGTTTTTGGTTGTAAACATTTTTTTCAATTATTACAGTTTTATTTCCTTTATCAGATTTACTGAATATTAAATCTTGATTATTTTTTATAAATCTTTTTGTTTTTTCGATTTTTATTTCAAGAATTTTTAAATTTGGGTTCCAAAATAACGAAGATGATAGGTGTTTTTTTATGGTATATGTTAGATTTGAACGAAGTGAGTTAAGCTCATGTTTAGAAATTTTTAAATTTTTACTCTCTATTCCTACTATAAAATCTTTTACAGGGAAGTTTGATTTGTTTATTTTCATTGCAAAATTTCCTCCCAAAGATAAGATCTCAAATACATCATTAGGTATAGTTTTAGTTGAAAGGTTAGAAACGAATTTTTTATTATATAACGACGGTAGAGTAATTTGTTCTCTTTCTAAGTATTTTAAATTGTTTTTAGATTTTATTATAAGTTTTTTTCCATAATTTTTAGTTTGAAGGTAGTTGTTAATTTTTAAATGT